GCAACGCGTAAATAGACAGTATAAGTCATTATAATCCATAATTATGTCCCCACTGGATGCAACGAATGCCTCGTTTATAATGGGTTTTCATGTTTTTGAATCATCGCTCCGGCCTGACAGGGCATCATCACAGTATGGTAAGGGGCGTAACATTTCCGTCACACGCTTGAGGTATTCGGCCAATCATAACGCACTGGATAGCTGGCCAATCACAGCACACCTTGCTTTTCAGACCGATGAGCCTTGTTAAAATCGACGCGTTTCAGAAAGGCGGGGCATAGAGGAGAAACAATAATGTACAGTATGTGGAAAATAATGTGTTTTTTTAACCTTAAACCACATAAACACATTTCATTACACCAAATACACAAAATAATGTTCTTTTTAGCAACATCATATGACCCCTTTAATAGCACTTGCTCTTTGCAGCTGTCCAATGCAGATTCATATAATATAATTAAAATAAGTGATTTGAATATCAGTCACACTGAACATTTGTTCTTTTGAACTGAAAAATGGTTCAAAAGGTGTTTCATATACAGTACTTAACATATTTCTCCAATTCCCCTGAAACTTGATCAGCTAGGCTACACTATAACTTAGCTAACTAGGTGAACAAACATTCAAGAAATGGCCTCATTTTTCCTTTTCACCAAATGACCTCCACTTTTTCTCTCATCTCATGTGGTCTAAAGAAAAAAAAAGGCTGCCAAGGAGTAAATCATGATTACAAATATATTAATTTCATCATATGAACATATCCTATTTTTTACAAAGCACTCAGCATGACTGTCTGGCAGAGTGAGTCCATTATGGAAAATACCAAATGCAAACAAACCCAATGGTTTTGTGTGAAAATATACTGTAACTGGCCCTGTCTGCTTTACTCGTGTCTTTATTCCCTTTATTTTCCTATTTACACTTCATTATCTATGCTATCTACAGAACAATTACCTAATCTAAACGAATATAAAAAGGCACAGTGGCACAATGAATACTAGTTAACGGACCTCTAATACCCTGTAATGCAAAATATAAGGAAAATGACAAATAAGAGTAACTGAATATATGGGACAAGGACAGATCAAAGTTTCTGAACTAAAATGTTGCTGTAGCAGTCCATTGATCTAGTCATTTGTGAACTTTGGATTTCATTGCTTCACAGAAATGTCATCCTAGTTTTTTTCACTTTTCAAAGGTACAGTTTAACATAAAAGTAGAAGTGCATGTTTTCCTCATCAGTAACCAAAGCCAAATCTTGAATAAAGCTCGTTAACTAGTATGTAAACCTTACATTCCAACATGTAATTAAACTAATTTATCATAAAGAATGAAATGAATCAAAATCCGCATGACTGCCGCTCATAACGGGCATGAACTGTAAGTATGCCGTGGAGAGCGCATACTAATTTTACAGCAGCACATATTAGGTTTCCTCCGTCATGCACTCAATAACACACGACTAGTCGGTCTATGTGCAATAGGGTAGACTACTTGCTGACTAAATTAACATTGGTTACGCTGTTAATAGTACACACTAAACAAAACGCGAATTTAGCATATGCTCCTAAATAAATCGACACAATTCAAAATGCTGAGACATTAATGTGACAATTGAGTAAACCAGTACAACTCACCTCGTGGGTTGATGTAGTTTATCATGCCCCAAAAAAGCAATGAATGAGATTTATCTCCACTTATAGTAAGATCCTGCAGTCCACCATAAATCTTTTCTCTTTTGTACTGTCTTCAGTTTGAGAGGCAGCGGTCAGTGTGGAGCTCCGTGTCGCCGTCAGGGGAGAATCGCGGGGCGGGCATTTCGAACACTACTTGGACAAGTTCCATGTTCTCAGTGTGTTGTTCAGTGCCACGACTGTTATCTCTCGAGTAGTTTTCAGACATTTATCGCGTATTAAGTGCTGAAATGTTACATATTTGACGTTTAAAGCTGTTTATTTAGGCCTGTTTATTTATTTGCTGAAAATGAAAAGCATTTTTGGGTAATGCCATTATAACGATGCACACTTATATAAGAGAAAGACTCCAAACATTAGTCTTCCAGAAAAAGCTTTTTAGGTTACCCTGTCATGGGTGCACCTATGTTGAAATCACATGACCAGCCCTGTCAAATGTCTATGCTACTGCTTTTCAAACTTATATAACATTATTGATTTAATAATAAAACATTAAATAGTTATGGAAAATACATTTGAAAGGTTTATCACTCAGCTCAGCAACAAGATTCCATTTTAAGTATCCTCGTGTTTTTGTTTTTTTATCAAAGCATGTGGTGTGCTCAGGAATTGTAATTATAAAGTCTTCAATTTTCAAATGTAAATAATGCATCCCTGTTTGAGGATGTTTGCTTTCAGCAGGGATTGCATAAACTGCAAAAAGGCCTGTGATCAAAGTCTAGATGGCTTTAGTGTTGGTGTCACTATTGGGTCAAAATAAATCATAACCCAGAGCTGTGTTGTTGATGTTAGCAGATCAGTAGATCAATGGAAGTCCTGCAGTTTGTATCCAAGGGCAATGCATGAGCATCAGTGGGAAATTGATTGTGATTCAGAACAGTCCTCTCATATATTGAGAGGGAAAATAGCCCGGAAAAACACACTGATCCATTCAAAACCGCTGCTGTTAGAAATGCGAGATGGATTGGTAAAAAAAAGAAAGAAAAAAAAAGCCATTTGGGGAGGTGAAGTTTCTAAAGTCATCATGGATTATATAACAGCCATTTCTTCAGAGATGTAACTGCATCGGTTGCATTTAATATCAACTACACGAATTTCACATTGTGTTTTTGTCTGTGTCTATTTTTCTGATCTTTTCTGTTATATATCTTTTCATCTTCATTCTCTGTTTTTCTCTCTGCTCCTTCATTGTACCATCACCTGCTCTATCTTGTTCTTCCTAGAGTAAACAATCCCCTCTGCTCAAGCATGCCAGCTATTTGCTGTGAATAACATGTAGCTTTTGGATACTTTTCAGATGCTGGTCCCAAAAGGGAGGCAGGGATATAATTTTAGGTTTTTCTCTCCCCTTTTTGACTTCACAACAGTCTATCTTTTCCTTTTTTTTTCCTTTGTCCACCCAAGTCTGTCTCTCTCAATCTGTTTCCCCCCAGTTCCTCCTCTTCCTTTCACATAAGTCCAATGCCTAGTCTAATACGTACTAACTAATAAATACAAATAAATGAAACACAAATAACTATTTTTTTTATTAAATATTAAATTTAAAACTAATAAAAATGACAAAAGCACATTATTGCAAAAAATTTTAATGAAATCTGAAAATATAAAAATAAAAGCTAATTCAAACATTAATAAAAATAGTAACACTTCACAATAAAGTTCTGTTTATTATTTGTTACATTAGTTAACTTGAACAAAAAATGTAAATACATTTATTAATGTAAATATTTAATATAAATTTCAGCATTTACTAACACATGATTAAAATCAAATGTTGTATCTGTTAATGTTATTTAATGGACCTATGCTTACTTGAACTAACAATGAACAGTTGTATTTTATTTACGTAAAAATTAATAAATACGGTAAAAATGTATTGCTCATTGTTAGTTAATGTTCATTAATGCATTAATTGATATTAATGGGACATTATTGTAAAGTGTATAAACTATAAAATAATCTTCATTGCACCAATACTGTCCCATGTCTAAAAGTTTTTTGTCTGTACAAGCTTACAATTATTAGTCAGCAAATTATTTACTTAAAAAATAAAATCAAAATATAGTTGCAAGCAGTGATGATGGGCCCAAGCCACCAGTGCAACCACCACCCCAGTGGCATCAGGAAAACGGTACACAACGGGGACATGCATTTACAGTAACCCTCTGGCAGTCTGGTCTTAAAAGGTTACTGAAATGAAAGGGTTACACTATAACATCAAGAGTGTGACACACACACACAGAACAATATATAAAACTGTGGTAACACTTTACAATAAGGTTTCAGTTGTTAACATTAACTATATTAGTTAACATGAACAATTATTATATAGCATTTATTAATGTTAGTTAATATTAAGTTCAAAACGAACTTTTTAATATTATTTAAAAAGTCGTTTAAAGTTGTATATTTTAACATCAGTTAATGCACTGTGAATTAACATGAACATGAATATTTTATATTAACTAACATTAACAAAGATTAATAAATGCTGTAAAAATATATTGTTCATTGTTAGTTCATGTTAGTTAATGCATTAACTAATGTTAACAAATGTGACATTATTGTAAAGTGTTACCAAAACTTTTAATGATCTATAAGCATCTGTAAATAATTATATGAAACCACATTACCCGTAGAGTACATATGAACTTATTTTATGTATTTGTTTGTCAGTCTAACTAACTGAACTGTGCAGTAAAGGATCAGGCTTAAAGATTTCTTATCCTTTGAGTGAGAGAGGGTAGGATATATAAAACTTTTAATGATCTATAAGATTTTTTTAAATGATTTTAATGCTCTATAAGGATTTCTAAAATAATTATGTACAAGTATACTGACAGTACAGTACATATCAATGGATCCTATGCATTTATTTGTCATTCTAATAGATGGAGATTGAGCTGAACAAGAATAGGCTTAAAAGATTTCTAATCCTATGACTCCATCTAGTGGACAACATCTAGTGGACAACCGTTCGCAATTTAGCATCTTCAGTATCTTGGCATTATGTTGACAAAATGTGTTGTGAATTGCATCATTCTCCAACAAGGAGTATGCATTAATTCACCCCAAAACCCCCCAAAAACCTTGAAAAAAAAAAATCCTTAGAAGAACAATAGTGCCCTGCGCCCCTATTGGCTTGGGCCTTAATGAAATAAATAGCTGTAAGTAGCTACCCTATGTGTCTACCACATCCATGTGTTTTGTCTTCCTGCGTTCTTCCTACAGTCTCCCATGATTATGTAGAAACTGCTGGTGTTCGGGCCCATTAACTGTGATTCCTGTCTTGAGATCAGTGCCAAAAAGGGAACGGATCCAGCAGAGAATTCTTAGCTTATCATAGCAATGTTTACGGAGCTCAGATTTGAGCGATGTCCTGGGGCTGGCTTTCCTCTATGCTACATCATAATGAACTCTGGGTTAACAAATAGCAAGTGTTGAAGTTTGTAATATCATATTTCACTTCAAAAGCTTCAAACAGTCCACAAAGGCATTTAAACATGCGCTGAGTTATTTTCACACATGATCTGATGATGACAAATGCCTTTGAGAAAACAATGTGATTGTTTCTTTCCCACACTCCATGCTTATTATTGATAGTGAGGTGATTATTAAGAAATGTAAGATAAGCTTGTAACTGAGTTTAGTGCACAGTACACATTGTTACAAGTCTAATGTTATCAGAGTTTCCTCCCTCCTGTGCTTTGAGTTATTTTCTGCTTTGAAAAAACACATTTTTTTTTGTTTATTTCCTTTTTGACTTTAGACATGTTTTGTATTCAAAACTCAATTCAGTCTCATCCTGTTCTTGAGTTGCACTGTTTTAAAAGTGTGTCTTCTTGCATCCGCTCCTCTTACCAATATCACTCTTCTCTGTGTTTAGTCTAGGCCAGGGGTAGGCAAGTTCGGTCCTAGAGAGCCGCAGTCCTGCAGAGTTCAGCTCCAACCCTGAAAAAAAAACTCACCTGCCTATAGCCTTAGTACCCTGGTCTAGGCCATCATCTCTTTGTAGAGATACTGATCATCCTGTATTTTCCATGAGAGCTTGACAAGAGATTAATTACCCCAATCCACAGAGAAACTGCAGGGCATGTCTTTAAGGGAATAGTTTACCCCAAAATTAAAATTTGCTGAAAATGTACTTGCCCCCAGGCCATCCAAGATGAGTTTGTTACTTCATAGGAACAGATTTGGAGAAATTGATTGAAATGCTTGGTAAGCATTACATCACTTACTCACCAATGGATCCTCTGCTGTGAATGGGTGCCGTCAGAATGAGAGTCCAAACAGCTGGCATTACAATAATACACAACATGACTCCAGTCAATCAGTTACCATCTTGAGAAATGAAATCTGCATGTTTGTTAGAAACAAATCCATCATTAATGCATTTTAACTATTGCTTCTGACCAAAATATGTGTCCATAATCCATAATAATCCTTCCTTCAGTGAAAAAGTCCATCCTCTGTCATGCTGTGAGTCATGCTGTGGATCTTTGTAATGTTTTTATCAGCTGTTTGGACTCTCATTCTGATGGCACCCATTCACTGCAGAGGATCCATTGGTGAGTAAGTGATGTAATGCTATCTGTTCCGATGAAGAAACAAACTTATCTACATCCTGGATGCCCTGAGGGTGAGTACATTTTGGGTAAACTATTTGTGTTCTCACTGGATGGATCTTTTTGCCCAGTGTTTTTGTCCATGTGACTGGGACTGTGTTTCTTGCTTACAGCAAAATACCATTAGATGTCAATAATGTTATCTTGCTGGATCAGTGTGACAGGGCTTTGGTTAAATCCTACATGTAAATATGCATTTGAAAGACAAGACAGGCAGTGATATCACTAGGAAGTAGATTAGGTTTCAAGAAACAGGTGGATAGTGCAGTGTAAGGGATAAGGATCAAGAGCTTTAAAGTAGTGGGGGTAAAGCAAGGGAGATGGAGGCTGGGGAAAGAGGGCCATAGTAAAACAGCAAAAAAATTTCCTGGTGAAAAAGGATGTCTCCTAAGGAAATTACTTTCGCATAGGTTACAAAGCCTGCCAAGGATTTAAACTCTGTCAGCATTTCGTTTTTTTGAAATGCTTAAACTATTTAATCCACAGAGTAAACTTATAAAAACAGAAAATCAAAAATGTAGTGACCTATTTAGTTAGACTACTACTGTCTGGGTGTGAAATAAAATTCCTTCAGTCCCACAAAGCAACACAATCAAG